GCCGTCGCCTGGCCCGACCCAAACACTGTACCAGCTACAGGAAAACCTTTGCAATGCCCAAGCTGCGCTGGTTGATTTCTTAGACAAAACTCGATGTTTTCAGGTAAGCTGTTTGAGTCAGAAAACAACTTGGCAGCCTGATGCTGAAATGGCCATGGGTCAAAAGCCCGTACCCCCAGTGAACATCCCAATCCCCACTAAAGTAGACCAAAATGGGTGGTGCACCTACCCCAAAATGGTCCCATTGGTTTTGACAACCACACCCAAATAACATTGGGCGTAGCAGTCAGACTGCCGAACCGGACGTGCCAAACGGCCTCCGTCCAAGTACGGAAAGGCCCCGAAGCTGTCGATCTGTTCGTGGAACGCCTCGCCGCCAAACCAGCTGAAGCCCCACTTGCCTCATTATTTTACTTATTTCACCCTGATCAAAGTCACCCCCGTTCAGTGGTGAGTGGTGGATAGGGAAACAACCCCGATTTTCTGACTTAACTCCCAGAAACCGTCAATTTTTTAACCCCAGCCCCACCAAGCCCCGAGAAGCCCGACGCAGCCCCCGCGAGAAAAAAACAGGAGCCATCAAAAACGTCTTGGCAGCAACTGACACGGACATGCAGGGGGTATCTTGTCGCCAAGATCTGGCCAGCGGGTATCCGCAAAAGTCGTCACCCTCCATGTTTAAATGAAACATCGACATCAAGAACCTCCCAAAAGCCATGCAAACGGCTCTCTCCTAACCAACCCTAAACGCATCATGAAGGATACCATCACCCAATGGGTACGAAGAAGTGGATATGTCCTGTATCAAGCTTGGATCCTTAACACTTCTAAGATGGCTATTACCTTTTCCAGTTGGTTTATAAAGTGAAACCGCAGGGAAACTACCAATTTGCGGTCCCCATTTGGGGTCGCAGGCTGGCACATAGATCTCAAAGTGCAACCCAAAAAATAAAAAGTGGCTGCGGGTCAAAACCCATGGCGGGGTAGATGAATTCACCACCCATTCTAGAACCTATTTTAGTGGGGGATTTAGCTTTTGACCCATGGCCAAGCGAGTTTTTGGCTCATATCTCAAACTGCAACCAAAACAAATCATAAGTGAGTGTGTGTGTGTTTATATATATATATATATGTATAATATATAAGTTTTTGGCAGCGAGTCAAACCAACCTTCTCCGCATCCCCCCTTCTTCGCAAGCGCAAGCGCGAAGAGCACGCGAACGAAGCACCCGCGCTCGATCCTTGAAGGCCACCATGACCTTCTCCGGGCCCACCCGGCGCATGGCCTCACTCAGCTTGGCTCCTGCGGGCTTCCGTCGCCGGAAGGCGGCGCGGCACGGCGCTTGGGCGTGGCTTGTCGCAGGTAGTAGCCACTCAAATGGTAGCTTGTCACGTAACATAAGATCGAGAATGACGTTGGACAGAAGTGAAACTTTGGGTTGCCCTTTTACGCCATCCAAGAAGGCTTTGATTTGAAACATCACCTCATCTCGCTCCAACCCCTGTCCTATCCGCGGATGAAAGTAGCCTGGGCGCAAGCGCGGAAGGGCGCACAAGGGGTGAAACGCAACAGAGAGCAATGACTTTCCAACAACAAGCTGCACAGACCGGTGCAAATATGTCAATCCCAAAGTGGACGCAATAAGCATCCAGGAACCCACATCAATGGTTCCCAGAAACCAGGTTGGTGTCAATTGATCCCTTTGTCCGCCACGAGCTGCATTGCCAATACTTCGTTGGACATGGGACTGGCAATCCAAAAAGTGGGCGTACCCCAGGTCAGCATTTACAACACTAGATCAATCTTGCCCACGCCCCCAGGCGTTTGCTTTTCGAAATTGTCCCGAAACTTCCAAATCGAAGATCCGGCAAAAAGGAAAATCCAAAGGAAACTCCTTGGATCCAAGCCAAAAGCATCCCAACCTCGGGTTTGCCACCCGTCCGTCCTTCCGCACACCTTCCGATACGGCCGTGCGCCGAGAAACTGCCCTCGCTGCCCTGGAGGCAGTGAGGCGGGAACGGGCCCCCGCAGGTGTTGAAGCTGCAGTGGTCGTGGGGATGGTAGTCCTCGGAGAGCGACACAATCTATATGTACATATATATATATATAGTAGTTAAGAAGAATTCAAGAAGCAAAAGGTAGATCATGGAGGGGGTGACCATATATGATATATATATATACATATATATATATATACATACATACATGTGTGTGTGTGTCTGTGTGCGAGTTATGTATATATGTATACACACACTTGCATCTGTGTGGGTTTGTGTGTGGTGCTTGGATTTATGTATGTATGCATGCGTGTATGCAGGATTGCAGATGCATGTATGGATGTGCATGTGCATGTTTATGTCTATAGTCTATGTCTCTGTCCACGTCTGTGTCTATGTATATGTATATGAATGTGCAATAAATACACATGTACATAGATATAACATATATATATATATATACATATTACATACGCGGGCAAGATTCATACCCACCCTTGACCCTCTGGCTGAAAAGTGAAGTTGGACCGCTTCAGAGCGTTTGACACTGTTCGAGGGTCCCTGTAGTAAGCTCGCTCTCCAGAGCTCGCCATACGCAAACAAATTATTTGGCGTCTTTTCGGGAAGCCCTGTTGGTTTCAGGGAAACCAACAGAAACCACGATCTTTTCTGTGTTGGGGAGGGGGGGCTGTTTGGTTGGTTTCGCTGGGAAACCCTATAAACAGAGGAACAGAGGGGGGGCTCCCCTATCTTGAGACAAACCCAAACGTCGCCGACGCCCCAAACCCAGCGGCCAAGGCTCCCGGGTGGCACAAATCGTGGCCCCCGCCGCGGTCGCGGAGTCCTCAGCGGTTACTTCGGGCCTTCTCTTTACGACGGCTCCTCCTCAAACGGCCAAAAAGGTGAGGGCAAAAATCCGACCCACAATCCGAAAAACACAAACAGCTGGTTCAATCCCGAAAAAGACAAGGAGCAGGAGCAATTACTTGGAGGAGGAGCAACCATATTTGGCAACTGGCCGCCCCAAAAGCGTGGGCTGATCCAAGTTTCTCGTTCGAAAACGCTCCGCAGCTCATCCAAATCACCGCGCCCCTGCCTTCCGAACGGGTTTCAGGGCCATCACCACACAGCACGCCACAACAGCCCAGCGTCTTTCCCAAAAGCAAAACCATCGAACCAAGCGCCAAACCCAAGGAGCCACACCTAGAGACAAGGCGACTCACCCCAGAGCTCATCGGCTGCCAAGCATCGATGAGCCGCTCGATGAGGGGCACCACATGGTCCCCCTCCGCCACCCCGAAGCGCCCGCCTTGGGCGTTCCTTGGCTTGCGAAACCCGCCATGGCGGAAGACATCGTCCAGCCAATTTGGAGCTTCCCTTGGAGAAAAAAAGGACGACTCAGGTCTGTTAAGGCCGTCTGTCAGGTTTAGGTTAAGACTAATTGCAAGAAACTTGTGGTGGAGGGGGGGAGGTCTAACAGACATCTGGCCTGCAAAGTAGTCAGCCATCACGTGCTCAGCTTGGTTCATGGATGCCACTAGACAGCACACGCGAATCAAAGGCATACTCATCTCCGCACGCTTGCATGTCGGGAGAATAGCCCCAGAATGACAAACATACTGACCAACTCACCCGCATCTCAGGAACCCAAAAAGCCGGCATTTTCGCGGCAAGCGGTCTCCTTTGGGGGGGCTAAAGCTTTGGTGATGTGGCTACTTCGGCCGCGCTTTGGTAATGTGAATTTGCGGAAGGGAAAGCACCAACGAATCCTGAAACACCCTGAAGCCGGGCTGCAGCGCGCTCTTTGGCACGAAGTCCGCCTGCATGTCCTTGTGCGAAGAGGCGAGCCCAGCGAGGCGTCCGGAAGGACGCAGCTTGCAACCACGGAACGTTGAAAAAACCCACCCCCCTCTTCAAGGCATGGCCTATGGTTAGATTGACATCCATGCCTTGAATCTAACCTGTTAGATTAACATCCATGCCTATGGCAACCACCATACGGTTTTGACATCTATGGCACTTCTAACCACTGCACGGTTAGAATCTAACCGTTAGATTGACATCCATATGTCCTTGGGTGCTCCAGCAGGCCGGAGCAATGTGTGCAAAGTGAGAAATATCCCCCGCCTATTGGATAAGGCCCTTGCGACTTCGAGGTTGGGCCAATGTGCTTCATTTCCGACAGATTGCAATGTCCACATGCGAACCACACGTCCTTGCGGAAGCATTGTACGTGGTACGCTCTTCCAAGAGTCTGCATCAAAACAAGCCAATCTGAACCGATGGCAAACCCGACAACCTCGGGTCATTATGTGTTATATATATATATATATCTACATATACATAGACAGTTATATATTTATCTATTAATTGGTTTCTTGTGTATTCATTGACTTTCCTTTCGACCCGGTCGCCCTCCTCGCAGACCAACTCACGCCTCGCATCGCCTGGCCGAGCTGCGATCACCACGAGGGCATCCTCCGGGCCCAGCGGGGCGGTGGGCGCGGCGGCGACGCTTTCCGCGAGTCTCAGCCACTCCTGGCGACTCGAGGGCCTCTCTAGGGTCTCCAATTGGCATGTGGAGCAGCGAGAGGCCTGCCGAAAAAAAAATCTGGGTGAGAGGTGGCCCCCCCATCCTCTTCTGTTAAGGGTCCGGGGCAATGGGAAGCTTTCTCTGGACATCCCTTCGCAAATTCCCCCATAGGCCTCCAGGAGTGGCGACTCCTCCGTATGGAAGGCCATGGCTTCGGCTCAAAAGGAGCCAGCTGGACACCTCCGGAGCCTAACGGCTGCACGAGGCTTCGTCTTTTGGGCCGCCGCTTCGACCTGATATCCGGTGAGGGAAGTGCTGGCAGGCGAAAGGAACGGAGAGAATCTGAAGCTCGAAGTGTCCGCAATCCGATGACATGGTGCCTGCCCTCTCCCAAACTCCGTGCCCGGCATGACGTGCTTCTTGTGAAGAGAATGCTCGTTATTCTCGCAACCGGCTCCCTTCTCCCGGCCTGGGGCGTGTGAGAACAACGCCCACGCAGTAGTTCTCCTGGGCAAGCTGAGTGAGGCACCGAGCTGCCAGCCGGTTCTCCGCTCAGAGCCGCTTTGAGTGGCGCGAAGCCCGAGGAAAAAGCGCGGCCACCGCTGGATGCGGCACGGCCACAAAAAGGCCGGCTCCGGAAAGTGAGCCGTCTTTCAGGAAGAAGCCACAATTCTGCAAATGAAACTAGGCATGTCACAGAGTCGCTGTTGTTCGCTCTCTCTCTGTCTCTCTATATAAATGTTGAAACTTTTGCATTTTGTGGGTTTCAAAAACCCACCCCCCATGAGGGGACGCTCTCTATAAATATGTCGTGTTTTTGTGCGCTTGTATCTTTGTATTTGCATAATATGTATGTCTAGACATGGAAGGCCTTCGCTACCCTGACTGCTAGGCTCCTCGGGCTCATCCTTGGGCTTGTCAGGCCTCGGGAAAAAGCGCAGCTCCAGCGTGTTCAGGCCTGGCTCGGAGCTCGAGAGGGGCGCAAGGAAAAAAGAGAATAATGGGTAATTGTTATTATTTGTTTTTTGGCGATAAAATTAGTTTAAACGTAGAATAAATAAAAAGGCAATAATGTCTAACAACGGAGAGGCCAAACTGGTGGCACAAACACAAGCTACGCTTCGTCTGAAGTGGGAAGCAATCAAGATGAGGTGTTTGGCAGATCTTGCGACTGAGCAGCTTCTGGATGTCAAGGTGGCGCTCACGCTTCAGGAGCCGTGAGGGGCGGCTCACACAGCCCGCGGGTGAAGAAGCATCTCTTGCCCAGCCAGCATTCTGCTGAGGAAAAGGCGAGGAATTGCAGCAATGTGCCCAGTGGGGGAATGTTCGCTTGGTTTTCAGCGTAGATTCTTGTGAAACTGTGAAACCAGCAAGGGGGTGACGGGGGGGGGGGGGGGGGCAAACATTCATCATCCAGGCATCAAAGTTTCCGAGGACAACGATGAGCAACCACTGCACTTGTTGAAAGCTTCCATCGGGCGTCTGGGTTCGTGAAGATCCAAACAAGCGTGCTTTTTCTGTCAGCCTCCTCTCATCCTTCTGTTGGTCAGAAGCCTTCCAACAAGCATTCCTCGCAGTGAAACCAAGCTGTCATTTGCACAACGCATTCCTTTCTTCATGCTTCTGACTGCATTGGCCGCCCTTCAAAAGTCCGCAATCCTATCTGGAAGCACCCCAGATTCACTGGGTACAACTGCGGTGCCTTGTGCCCCAAGCTGTTAAGCAGGCCGGCGGAGACCCTGCTTCAGCAAGGGCGTCAGGTTGTAGCACTGCTCCCTTCTAACCTCGCGCGCCGGGCAAGAGGCACATCCAGGCGGATGGCGTGGCACGACCCGATTCTCTCCCTCGCCCGAGCGCAGGGGTTCTCTCATCGGGTACCCGCCAACGTGTCAAGGCACAAAGAATTCAAATGATGGCTGATCATTGTGGTTGCTCAAGCAAAAACAAGATACTGGTGAATGAGATGGACACAAAGAATCAAAACAAAGTGCTGGCGGTTGCTCAAGCAAAAGCAAACAAGCATGGCACCCATCTTCCGGAGCGGCCCAACCAAGCAACTCGCCAAACCGATCCATCCCACGCCCCAAAACAAAACCAAGGCACATGGAGGTGCTTGGGCGGGTCGATGGCCACGCACTGCCGGCCATTCAGCTTGCCCTCGCTGCTGTTTACTTTGGCCGAGGACTGGGGGTGCGGGGCACTTGGGTTTTTCTGGGTCAAAACTAATAGTATCCCATTTTGGGGTAGGTGCACCACCCATTTTGGATTTAGTGGGGATTGGGATGTTCACTGGGGGTACGATTTGGGTTTTGACCCATGGCCACTTTGGTTGCTGGGTCTGGTTTTCTGCAGCTCGAAGCTTGCACACCAAAAAACATGGGTAGCCACGGATTCAGCATGGAAGGTGAGGGCTCTGATGTCGAATTCATACGCAGAGTTATCATTCTGATCGAATGGAAGTTGGTCACAATCCGAGAAGGCAAAGCGACTGATCGAACAAGGCAAATGATTGTGTGTCCCGGCATACCCAAATGTTCTGCCGCGTTAGCCCAAATCGGCGCCTTTGCTGCTTAAGCACAATGAAGAACACAACCCAGTTTCCTCATGCTGGTCAACCGTTCTGGATGAGGCCAATACCCCCCAAAAAACACGCCCACACGCACACTCACAGACGCCCGCGAGCCGAAAGCTCGGGGAAGAATCGAATCCGAGCCAGGCCTGGACCTTGTGCGGCCAGGCAGGTCCGCTCAGGTCGCTGCCGTGGATGTGCACAGACTGGGCCGGATGGTGACTTTTTTCCTTTTTTTGAGGGTGGCTCTGGTTGCTTGGCTCCAAGTTCCCTTGTGAAGTGCTACAGGTCTGAATTCCATGCAGGCACTGCTTGGCGGACTAACAATGGAAACATCTGTCCATCTTTCAGGATGTTTGTTATTGAGATCCATAGCCAGGAGCTTAGAATCGGTGAGAGGGCTGCCACGGTCATTTCAAGGTCCAGCTGACCCGAACGGCCCGAGCAAACACCAATGCTCGTCTCCGAAAGAAACCTAGTGACCTCACAAGACATTCCACTCGGACAAGAAATCAGTCCGAGTCCGAGCTGCCTCCACCATCAATCGGCCCCATCCACCTTTTGCGACCCCCAGCCCCCGAACAACAACCCCCCCCACTTATCGAAGGGGTATGCCTCGTGCGGCGAGGGAACTTGCCCGAGAAGAGAGGAGCAAACTACCCACCTGAGTCACTTGCTCAAAACCCGGTACAAAAATGGTCGCAATCCCAGAACCATGCTTCAAGAACTAGGAAGCCGGAGACATCCGCAGCTCTTTATGGTTGGGATCGTCCCTTAAGCTTCATCTCCCCGAAGCGGTTTTGAGCACGTGGCCCACCTCCAAAACCGCCCCCGTTCCGAGCTGAGCTCCAAAGCTGAGGCTCCCCGCCCGCAGGTGCACAGCCCAGCACTGCTTCTTCCACAGCGCGGCCTGCCGAAATTTTCGGTGCCCAGTTGGGGGCCATTGCGCCCCACAAACCGTGGACCCAGGCACGATGATAGGTGGGAGGGAAACATCCCAGGTGGGAGGGAAACATCCCAATTCCTTACCCGGCAAAAGCAAAAAGCTTCCGACTTGGCGCCAGCTTCAAAAGGAGCCTTGCCTGTTGCTCCTTGCCCGGCAATCTCGCGCAACACTCGCGCCACGTAGGGGCAGCAGAGCAGACAACACTCGCGCCACGTAGGGGCAGCAGAGCAGACCGGTGAAACAAGAGTCACTGCTGGAGACATCGAACGGCTTTCAGTGAACCTGTATACTTTTGCGCAACCGACAGCAGAGCGCCAGGAAGTTGAGTAGTGACCTCTTTCAAAATGGGGCACAACATCCTAGCCACAGGGCCAACAATATGAGGCAGTCTGACAAAGGACAAGTGCCTCTGTCCCTCAATACAGCCTCACAAACATCATGCTTTCACATGCATCCTACTGAACAAGTCGGGAGTCACATGCACAACGCCCGCTCTGGTCGTCCCCAGCCTGCGCTGAGAATGTCAACGAGAACCTTGCCAGGACAAAAAAAAAGAGAAAAAAATGTCGCTCCGAGCCTGGCGACTGCTTCTGCCACGAGGAATCCCGCCGGGCGAATCCGGAAGAGTGCTCACGGTACCGAGGCCGCCGCGTCGTCGTGCTCGTTGCATAGCTGTGCTTGAGCAAGCCGGAACCAACAGTGGGGTGAAACCTGCCACGAGACGAGAACATATTGATGTGCCACATTGATTTACATATGGCTGTGGTTGTCAAAACCAATGGGATCCCATTTTGGGGTAGGTGAATTCACCACCCATTTTAGAACCTATTTTAGTGGTTGGATTGAATTTGACCCATGGCCATAGTGTCAGGGTGGTGACTTGAAGCAAACCATTTGCAAGCACAGGGCCTCCTGGTTTCTTCTCGGCCAGTGACTGGACAGGGATCCTTACATTATTCGCCTGATCATTGCCTTGTACATGGTGGTTTCCCTTTATTCTGCTGGAAAAAGTTTCAAATGGGCAAAATGTAAGATGGCCGCCCTTCGGATTTGGCACGCCCGCACATCAAAACAGCCGGCGCGACTCGTCCACGCGCTCCAAGCGGCAAGGCGGACACACAAAGTTCGCCGGCCTAGGCCACGAGAAGGCAGAACCTCCACGGTGTTCCTGTTTTGAACGCCTCTCAAGATGCCGCCATATGGGCGCGTCTTTTTGTGAGGCTACCCCTCTTGGAGTGGTTTTAAAGAGTGCGGTTTTGGGCGAACACGAAGTAGCCCAGGGAATCAAAGAGGTACACGTGGTTCACGAAGTACCAAAAGAACCCAGGCCCAAAGCACAATGTAGAAGGTGCCGGTGACCAGATTGTGGGAGTGACAGTTAATGAAGATCAAGTTTGGGGAGGTTGGGAAATAGGTTGAAGAAGGGAAGTTTGTGCCCAAGCCCAGGACGATCACGCAGAGATCCTCCGCCCACCTCCCAGTGCCTAACCACGGCGACGCCAGGAGCCTTTTCCCGACGGCGAAGCAGTCAGCCGCACTATGGCTGGCGCAACAAGAATCCGTGACCCCCCTGACGGGAGGGCAAAACTTGAGCCAAACGGCCATTCGGCCGCTTTTGCCACATGAAGAAACAATACGTGAACAAAACACACCCCCCTCATCCGATGTCTGGACGAGAGAAAGGATGCGAGACAGTTGAGTTCACGACGAAAGGAACCTACCAAAATGCCAACGTCAACTCAGAGGTGAGCCAGACGGCATCACCTGGGCCCCAGTTAAAATCCCGCCACCACCCCGAATTATCGGGGCGACAGGATTATTTGACGAATGGGCCACGTGAGTGAACAAGGGCATATTGGAGGAGCCAGACGAAGGTCCCTCTTGTGTCGTTCATGCATTGTCATGGAACAGTGACACCCGGAGGGGGGATCCTATCTGAATCGCCACACCTCATAGGATGCCACGACGCGGTCGGAGATGGTGTTGATTTGAAGGGAAATTAAAATAATAAATTTCCAAGAGACCGGTGAAAAACTAACCGTCTACGGCCGGCCCAGCACTTCTAGTGCGGTCTCAGCCTCACGCAGGATCACCAGGGGAACCATCTCCAGCGCGCACGGCAGCGGTACGGGAAGAGCACGATCAGCGCCGGATCAGCGGTGCGGGGCAAAAGGAAATCATCACCCCCAGCAGCGCCGCATGGGCGAGGATGGGACCAGTACAGACGCTTTCTCGGCGACATGTGCGTCATTCTCGCCTTTCTAAGGCGGATGATGACTGCGGCGCCCGCCTACCATCCTGAGCCGGGTGCTTCCCGGTCCCTGGGCGCATCGTCTCTCCGTCGCCCACCACGATCACCTCGGTCGCCTCCCCCATCCCGGCGAGGCGGGGGGGGGGGGGTCCGATTGGTGGCGTCGGTCATCTCTGCGCCGGTCACGGTGGCGATCGCGACGGTCATGGGCGGGATCATCCCGTCCGCGGCGCTCATCACGCCCCGGGCCGCGCCTATCGGACGTCTCCTCGTGCCGTGGAGGAGGCCGGCGATCATCACGTCGGCCACCGCGGGCATCCCTGGCGCGATCATCCCTTTGTCGGGGCGGGCCAGGATCCTCGCGTCCGCCTTTGCCTGGTCGGTGTTTCCCTCGGTCTTTGCCCTCACCCTTAGGACCGCGACGGCTGTCGCGCGCCCCGTGTGTTGTTCTTGACCGATCATCATCACGGTGGGGTCGCGACTCATCAGCCGCACGAGTGGTGCGAGGCACGCCCGGAGGGAGTTCCCATTCCCCGTCATCATCATCACGCGGGTCATAGCCGCTACGGCCGCCCAAGGAACCAGTGGCATCCCGTGGTGGGGACGCAGGAGTTCCGGGACCGCCAGACCGAAGACGAACCCGGGGAGTCGCTTCCTCGCCGGTAAAAGGATCCTTGGTCCTGCCCTTCTTCCGCACCGCTTCTCGCGGGGACCGGGGATGGACGGGCAGGCTGGGCCATGCTCTTGGAGTGCCAGGCGGGATGTGAACGCCCCCCTGCCCTTTCTCGGGCGCGGGGACCCGACCACAAGATGTCTCCTGGCCTTGGGTTGATCGGCGTCAGCCTCCAGCTCGGACTCGGTGTCAGAGACACGAGTATTGACGGCCACGTCCTCCTCCTCAAACGGATCCCCAGATGCCTGTGTGGGACACCACGGGGGTCTCTCCGGTTCTACCGGGACAGGCGGCGCGGGAGGAGCCGGGGGCGGTGGCGGAGGGGGAGGGATCTCCTCCTCATCGTCGTCCATGGGCTCGTCAAGGTCCTCAGGCTTCTCATCGTCTTCGTGCGAAGATCCATCCGATCCCAGCTCATCCTCCGCAGATCCAGCAAAGTCGGGCTCTTCCTCGTCTTTCACGCCGGGGCCTGGTGTAAGGCGGATCCCGGGTCGACGGCGATCGCGGGGTCGGAAGCGGTATTTCCTGGGTGTAGGATCGGCCAGCTCCTGTTTGATGTCGTCCTGGGTTTGCGGACGGTCGGCCAAGCACGTGTCGTAGGCAACGGTGGACGTCCGGTAGATCAGCTCATCCATACTGCTGAGGTCGTTGAGCGTGTAGGCGTAGCCCTTCTTTACGCCTTCCCGCGCCGTGTCCATAGCCTGCTTGAGACGCGCGGCGGGATCAAAGCCGGCCTTCCTCCGCATGGCTTGCATTACCCCACAGTGTTGGGCGAGCAATTCCACCTGGGCCTTGAACGTCTCCCCGGACACATCGTTCGGGAGTATTGGAGAAAGGTGCCCGGATCTCAGCCCAATGATGTGAGCTTCGACCATGTAGTATGACGTGTAAAAGCCGCAGCGGTTGGCGTTGAAGTTCGCGGTGGTTAGGCGTCTGCCCCACTCAGCCGCATACCCTTCATATTCTTCGAAGAAGTCGGAGACGGTGTTCCCGTTGAAAGCAAGACCCCTTACCAAGATCGCCTTTGCGACCCACTCTTCCACATTGTGGTCAACAGTGTCACGGTATTTGCCGTCAAGAACCTCGTCTCGGAGCGAGTCATGGAGTTTCTGGAAAATGCCATCCACGTCCTCTTTGTCGAGGTACTTACGAGGTCGCATCCCAGACATCAGCAAGGACCGGGCGTCAACGGCGGGACTCTGTGAGTAGAGGGCCATTCCGATGGCGTTGGCGTCTGCGTTGTTCCACAGAGCGGGGACGACGCCCCCGTATTTCCCCAACCAGCTGGGAATCACCCCGTCAGTGTGCTCGCTATCGTGCGAGGGCCGCCGTCCGTGTCTCTGGTGGGCAGGACACCCTCATAGAAGATGGGAAGGTAGCAGGCAGTGCACAGGTGAGCGCCGATCGGATGAGCCGTCATGCACCTATGGCATGGAACAGACAGCACCTCCCGGACATGCTCCGCCTTGGTGATCTGGTGAGTCTTCTCCATCTCGTCCCGACACTTCCTCGGGTTCTCACTCACGGAGCTGAGGAAGTTGGGCGGATAACACCATGGCCTCAAGTCAATGATGGAGCAGTCCTCCTTGAAGTAGACGCATCTCCAGTACCCGATCGCGATGTTCTCGCGCGATGCAAAGGTACCCTGACGAGTAATATGCATGCCCCCATTTTCCATGGAGAAGAAACGTGCATCGAGGGCCATGACCACATATCGGGGATCGCTCTCTGGCGTCGACCCGAGGTGTGCAGCTCTGTCACATTGCGATCGGTGATGCGGTCGACAGTGTTGGTGGGGCATTCACCGTGATCACGAATGGGTTGGTACTCATCCGGCCTGGATGGGAGGAGCTCAATCATGGCTCGCCCACCCCGAATGATCGCTCCACGTTCTACGTAGAGCCGGTACATCCGAAGTGGCACCACCTTGTAGAGGGTCTTGGGAACCACCTTAGAGGTCACAGGAAGACAAACAGGGCTCTCGTAGAGCATGTATTCACGAAATGCTCGGTAATCAGTGTCAGATCCGATCTCAAGCGACCTTACCGCCGCTATGCGGGCGGAACCAGGCAGCAATCGACGCTCCTTGTCACGGATGACGGTGATGATGATCTCGAACATTCCCACCCCGTCTTCGAGGAAAGAAGACAGGAGGTACAACGAAAAGGCATCGTCGGACTCGAGACTGTCCCGAAGTAGTGGCTCAGGAACTTCTTCAGCTGTATCACCGAAGTGACGTTCCCTTGCCCGCTGGCAGACGAGGCCTCCAATTCTGGGTCCTTGACCGCGCCAGCATTTCCAGGCTGCACGGCTGTTCCACGGAGCGCGTCGCGTATTTCCGCGCAGGCTCTCCTGTAATAGTGCGAAGAGGCGCCCGCCCTGCCCTCCACCTTCTGACGGATCTCGTCGGCGAAGTAATTCAGCAGCTCCGTGGGGGCGGGAACAATGGCCTGGATCATCAGGTCAGGGTCACTCCTGGTCGGGAGGATGGGTCCTGCTCTGGATCTCACTCCCATCTCCAGGAATCGGGCAATATCCCCGACTTTAGCGCAAAGAGTAGCGACCGTGTTTCCGATCCTGGGGGCGATATCTTCGCCTCTCCTGGCGCCGAGGATGACCACATTCTTTCTGATGGATTCTTCCTGCAGCTTCTCGAGGTTTCGCCGGGTGGCCTCAGTGCCCTTCACCGCGCTGAGGCGAAGAACAGCAGGCTCTGGCTTGTCCGGTCGCACGAGCTGGCCGTCGGGAATCTGGTCAAAGATTCGCGAGGCGGATTTCACTGCTGGGACGTTCCTATACTGACCCGGCACGCTGTAAAAGGCGTAGGAGAGAGTGTCATGCGAAGATGTCTCCCAATACGTGTACTCCTCGGAATCACGCGGGTCGCCAACGACGCGACTCACGGTCCTCAGCTCGGCCAGAGCACGCTCCGCTTCGAACTGTGAGCCGATGGTCGTGGGCAGCATGGCCCTCTCCTCCTCCGTGCAGTTGACGTATACGAACTGGCCGGTATGCAGGTCCCTGGGCGCGGCGAATGGCCCTGCAGTGTCGTGAACACCCAGCAGAGCGCTTCTCGCCTCGGCATGGCTAGGGAGTGCATCCGCAGGAGGATGGGCGGGCATAGCAGGAGCGTCAGGGGCTTGAGAAGCAATCGGGACAGGGTCGTCCTTCTTGTGGTCGGAGGCCTCCGTGGCGGTTGTTCCCGCTGC